CTCCGCGGGCTGAGGGCGCCGCCCGGCGGCCGCTGCCGGAACGGCAGGAGGAGCCGCCCGCGGGCTCCAAATCCTGCCGCCGACCCTCCCAGCGCTGCCTCCGCTGCCTTCGAGGAGCCAGAATCCTAAACACAGCCTCCTCGCTGTTTTCGAGGGGCTGGCTTTCAATCCTGCGGGAGTTAGCGCGGTGGGACGCGGCCCGCTGCTCTGGAGGGCGCCGTGGGTACCGGGTGGGCGCTGGAATCGCTCTTGGACGCTGCGTGCCTCGTTCATTTCGCTCTTGGCAGCGGTCTCGGGTGGCTGGGGTAGGGGATGAGGAGGTGGCAAACAGCCAGTGAGAGAGGGCGGTTCAGCACTGCTAAAAACTGAGTGGCTGCAGGAACAGGAACAGCCTGCTTTTTGGATTATAGGGGCGCCCTGGGATGATCGAGTGACACTGAGAAGCACCTCAGTGCCTGACTTCTGAGATTCCTGTGTGTTTGTTCAGTCTGGCAAAACCAGTAAAGAGATGATTTGCAGGAAAACCTAGTTCCTTGCAACACTGAGCAAGGAGCACTACCAGAAGATATCGAGCTCCTTTTTCCATCCATGATTAGAGATCTCATCAAAAATGTTTAGCATTTCCCTATACTCAAGCATTTGATCCTCACTACAGACTGTTTTGAGAGCGAAACAGTGACATATGTTGGAGACACAGCATTCTATTTCAGCTCTGGACTAATTAGTTAGAGAACAAGATCCCCATTTTGTAAGCCACAGCCTTTGCTTTCTCCTCAAATGTACCTGTTGCCTGTTTGATGGGAGAAACCGCTCAGCCAGGCAGAACCCTGGCTGTCTCTGGAGATAGAGGCAGATAAAATCAGCCTGGTCAGACAGGAGGGCAGCTCCTGCTCCATGCCTGGCACTTCAGAAAGTCTTTGCAGAAAATGGCACATCTAGCAGAGTGCTTCACTCGTCACCATAGCAAAAGCAAAGCAAACAGCAGTTTCCCTAGAAACTGCATGTGGCAGCACATGTTGACTTTAAGGGAGGGAAAGAATCCAAAATAGAAAAGTACTGGGTGCAGAAGGGTGAGTGTGCTGCAGGTAGGGAGAGGGCACAAGACGTGTCCCAGACCCGAAGGAACCAAGGTGGCTGGAGTGGGGCAGGGACCCCCAGCAGACACTCTGGTGGCCACAGTCCCTCAGTGCTCAGTGTCAGAGATGCCTTGGGGCAGAGGCAGCTGGGTCCCGTGGCTGGGTGCCCCAGAGCTCCGCTGCCTGCAGCTGCTCAGCAACCCCAGCCCAGCCACAGTGACACACGCCAGGTGGTACTCAAGGGTTGGGCTTGCTGCTGCTGAGGCAAACCTCCACTTTGCATTCAGAGCCCCAGAAAGCAGGCAAATTTGAGCAGAAGCTCTTGGGTTTCCTTCTCCAGGGCTTCCTCCGAAGAGACGCAGCTGCCACTACAGCCCTCAGCTCAGTGGCCTTGGGTGCTATTTCTGGCTTCTGTCAAAAACCACCTACCTTACAGAGGGAAGTTCAGGACTGTTCAGTCCCCTCTATTTATAACCACACAAGCTCCTCCAGGGCAAAGGGAGTAGCTGCTGCTGGGGAAAATGAGTCTGCAGAAGGCATTGTCCAGCGAGGCACACTTACGGCAATGTACACCAACCACATACCAGGCTCTATGAGTAAGGGTGAAGTCAGCAAGGTGAGGGCATTGGTGTTCCCTTTTATTTAGTGCTCAGGAGGCTCTATCTGGAGTACTGTGTCCAGTTTGAGACTCTCTCAGAGCTTGATCAAGGGGAACAAGTCTGGCATTGAGACATTGAGGGAGCTGCTTGGACTGTGTCACCGGGGGAAAGGCTGAGGGACCGACTTAGTCATCAGAGGAAAGGCTAAGGGGGATCCAGGTGCTCTTGTCTATTAACTAAATGGGTGCTATAGAGCAGATGGGACCAGACTCCTCTCAGAGGTGCACAGTGAAAGGTCAAAGGATGACAGAGAAGTTGTAAGAAGGGAAATTCTGATTAGACACAGGTTTAAAAAAAATCCAATGAGAGCAGTCAGACACCAGTATAAGGACCCCAAAAAGCTGTGTGATCTCTACCTTTGGAGACATTCAAAGCTTATCTCAAACTGGTCTTTGAGATGAGCATTGTTCAGGGCAGAAGCTGAACTGGACCTCTCCAGGAGTCCCATCTGTCCAAAACCTTTGAGTGACTCTGTGGTACTGCTAAACCTACTAAAATGTAGGTTCCTTGGAAACAAGCAAGAACTCTGTGGCTTCTCAGAACCACCAGCTCCCTGCATGTTCTGTGAGCTTACACTTTAAAGGAAGCAGAATATTCTGCTTGGGGCAGAATAAAGCAAGAGGTGTCCCATATATTACTCACACATGAATTTCATGCTGGCAGCTTTTAGATCTCATGTTTGTCTTTAAGAAGCTGCAAAATCAGTCCCTCCCTGGGGAATGTGTGTGTGAGTGTGTGAGTGTGTGTGTGTGTGTGTGTGTGTGTGTGTGTGTGTGTGTGTAAGAGCAGGGTGTAAGTGGAAGTGTAGAGTGGGTGGAATGCTCTCTTGCTCCCGAGTGTTGTTGCCCTCTAGGTGCTGCTCTGAGGCTGCAGTGCAGCTGCCAGGGATAATTGAAGGAGACTGCTCCCAGCTGGTCACTTTGCCTCTGGCAGGGCCGGGAAAATGGGAGGCATTTCTCCTCTTCAGCTACCTCTGGTTCTGGTCCAGTGTGAATAAACCTACTGTGTAAGGTTTGTATGGGAGAAGGTGGCTGCGATAATTGGGCACTGGACACACCACCTGTACTGCCAGCCCTGCTATGGGACAGTCAGTCACCTTTGGCAAAGGAGCAACCAACCCAAACACTTGGGCCAAAAGTTGCCACAACCAAGTTGTGGCCCTGTGATTCTGTTCCCTGGGGAGCGGATGTGACTAAAGTGATCACCTGGCCCTGTGAGCCTGGAGAAAGTGGCCCCAGCTGAGGAAGAGGGACTCATGACCCCTGTGCCACAGCAAGGGCTACAGGACTTGTAGGAAGAGGGTGAATCCCTCTCAAAGAAAAATCTTATTAAGGGACGGTGGCACTGGCACCAGCAGGGAGCTTTTGGGAAGTGACCCCAGGAAGGTTCCTCCCATTCCAAGTTGTGTCACCACTGACCTGAGTCTGTGCCCCAAGAGTTTATTGCACCCTCCATGCTCACTCCTGACCAGGCACGTGGAGCCCTACAGCCCTGGCAAGGCCATGGGATGGTGACCCTGAAGGTCCTGGGACCGAACAGCTTTTTTTGTCCTTCTTTGTTCTTTTCCCACGACACCCCTGACCCAAAGTTCAGCAGTTTATCCTACCTCCTGATAATCCTGGCTGCTTTCATAATCCAGGTGTGCTGTGTGCCAACCCTTCTCTGATGTGTACATTTCTGGCTCTCTGGTCTCCCTGAACAGGGAGAGGAGGGACTGGAAACCAGAGGGCTCTGAAGGCAGAGCACCTGCAACCACCACCACCACCGAGGGAGCCCTGTGCAGGAGAGAGAGCAGGGATGAGCCTTACTGGGTTTACAGACCTCCCAGAGAGCAGGTTCTCAGAAAAAACAGCATGAGGATCCTGCCTCACTCAATTCACTTGTTCCTTTCGGGTCTAGTCCATCTGGCCCCACCACTTCAGGATTTCCCTGGGACATGGGTGTGACTAAGTGGCCAGCTGGTTTTGTTTAAGCTCAATTATAAGGAGAGAGGAAATTGCTGCTTTTCCAAAAGTCTTTCCTGAGGTGTGAGAAACCTGCAGTGCAGCAGCACCCCTTACCCAGCAGCGCCAAGTTCCACAGGAACTCATATTTATTTTGGCATTTAAATGAGCTCTCACACAAAGCTGCCTTAATATCAAACAAGTGCAAAATAACTCTGGTCAGATTAGTATTTGTGTCATTACAGAGATTTAAAAAAATTACTCTAAAAGGCACTCTAAATCCGTGGAAGGAGATTTTCGTTCTCTGACAAGCAGCACACACACTAACAACCAAATAATCGAGAAAATCGCCATGCTCTGAATCAATGGGAGTGTATATGATGTCTCATCCCTCCTAGTTCTGCCACCCTCTGGGGCCAAGGCACATTGGGAGGTACTTTCTGGTCTGTGGCAGTTAGTGAAGGAGTTGGTAAGTGCCTGGGATATGGAAAACACACAATAAGAGCACACTTCACTCCTGTTTCTCCTGCTAGCCTGTTCCTTTGCTCCACCAGACTCCACTGAAGCAGAGGTGCTGGCTCTCTTTCAACATATTTTTGAATCATCCTGGGACATACTATAGTTATCAATGACACCACATCTGCTTGAAAAGTTCATTTCCTGAAAGTTAGGTACTGTTTCCAGCATATCCTTCCTCCCTTCAGTCTGCAAGTCAACAAGTTGCTTTACAAACCCTTTTCCAGCCTGCTCTCCAGTGTTACACTAGTATCCTTGAGTTTTCTCCCTCATTCTCTGTATTACAGCTGTGGACTGTACAGGTGGAAGGGAGGAGGGATGATTAGCATAATTTCCACCTCAATTTTACTAGAAAAAGGGAAGTTATCCTGCAATGCATTTCAAAATCAATCCTTAGGGGGGATCTTTCTCATGCCAAGGGATTCAGAAGCCTCAGGTGTCCTTGTGTTGCCCTTCAGTGCTGGCAGGCAGAGTGGGGAAGATGCAGGCTGCCTGATTCTGGACAACACTGTGCCTGAGGAACAGGTTTACTTGCCAAGAGCATAAGGGTATGTGGTAGCATAACACACCATGTAGAATCTCATGGGAGAGTATCCTCTAAAAAGGGAAATCATAGCCTCGTACTAGCAGGAAGTTTAAAAATTATCATCATCACCATCTTCACTGATAGGATTTTGTTTTGATATTGTTCCTACTTTCAAATAAAAATATTACACTAATTCAGAACATCAGAAAGACATCTTTTTACAAACCAAATTACATACCCATAAGCTCCTTTCCTATTCTTGATCATGCAAGTACCCAACAAGAGACAAGTGAAGAAATACAGGAGTATTGACTCAGCAGATACAGGCATGTACAGTGATGAAAAGTCCACATCTTTCCTCTGGCATTTGCTTGTTGTGGCTTGGATTTATATTTCCTCATTTCTTAAGCACCCCTAACATTGAATCAACTTTATTCAAAAAAGAAGCTACTAACACTTCTTCTGCGCCCTCAAGCTGAAAAGCTCCACAATTACAGCTTCAAAGAAGCATCTCTCTGCCATTCTTCCCCAAGTGCAACCTCCCAGGTGGCCCACTCCAACCCATGGAGAGCTATTGTCACCCCACCAGCCATTACAGGAATCACATTCCCAAGGAAGAACACCAGTTTCTCATAGTCAGGCAGTTTGGGGTTTTATTAATTAAACAGTCCATATACAAAGTACTAAATAAATATACAGCTGTGGCAGACGCCAGTGTACCACACACACCCACTTGGAGAGCTCTCTGTAGTTATACATGAAATACCATGGAAAGCCATTTATCAAATGCAAAGCAGGTTACAGAATGATTCAGCTCTGCAGACTCATTGCTCATCACCAGGGTGCAGTCCACACACCACACACACACACACACACTTTTGCTCACTCATGCCTGGGAGGAAGAGGGTCTGCCCTCTGTAACCTGGCTGCTTGGGAAATGTTTGTGCTAATGTCACAGACACGCTCAGGAAGAGGCCGAAACCCAGGGCTCACAGGATTATATCCCACCAGGGTGTTGCAAGGAGCCACATGGAAGAGGCTTTGTCTTTGGGGATCCCAGCCTGGAGTGGCCAGGGTATGGAAGCAGAGTTTGCAGGGGGGCAGGCATCTTGGGGAGCTCAGCTGGGGCACAAGGGTAGAAGCCAGAGCTGGAAAGGAAGATGTTAGAACATGGATTGTCAGGGTAAATTGGTGTAGATGGTTTTATGTCTTTAAGTTTTCTTCCCCATCTCCAGCATGGTCCCTAGATGATGAGGAAGGTGCTGGAAGCAAATATGAAGATGAAAAAAGGAATGCTCTTTCTCTCTCTTCTCCACTGGTCTCTGGAGGACAGCCAGGCAGGGCTGGGAGTGAGCACAAAATAACAGTGGATAGATAAAATGTCCTCAGTAGTACCTGAGATGTCTTTGTGGGTGGGCAGGAGGAAGGAATGTGTAGGGCTGATGCTCCTGGTCCTTCCTCTTCTCCCATCACATGGGGGATGCAGGCATCCCCATGAGCTGATTAAAGCAAGTCCTGTCTGGGGCCAAGCCAGTCACAGACCCAGCTGATGATCCCCCTGCTTCTCCAGCATTCCTGCTGAAAACAGGCCAGGATGCTCGTCCGTCAGAAGAGAGGAGCTTCATTCCATGGAGACAGAGTGAGCAGGGATAGGATGGCCAGGGCTGTGTCTGAAAGCTATGTTTGAAGAATAACAGGGAGCTAAAAAGGTGCCTGTGTGGGGGAAAGAGGATCTCTCTCTCCCTTTTTGCTGGTGTGGGTTGACTCTCCTGCAGGATCATCTCACTTGTCACCACGTGGCCCCATGCCTCTGCTGAGGGACACTTAGTCTCTGCTCACTGTGGAGCTGCTACATGGGGCTTTTCCCACCAGTGTAGTCATGGTAAGGGCTTGTCCGGGCCTTGGGGCGAGGGATGGAGAAATCATTCTGGGGTTCAATGGCCTGAAAAGGAAACACAGAAGTCTTTACCTTTGAAAACTGGACAGAAGTAATAAAACAAGGCTTATGAAGAAAACAAAGGAAGGAAGGGAGAAATAGAGCTGAAGGTTTCCTGAGAATGTGACCAATAAGGCTATGGAAGAAGATCCTGGCTGAACAAATTAGTGATGGACACATATCAGCAGAGGACATGTGGGAGCATGATGTGAGCTACTGGAGCTGGCTAGGCTGTGGTCTGGAGGACTGGTGAGTGGACAGGTGGACATGCAGACTGCCTGCTCTGGATCTGCACTGTAACTTCCAGTGTTTGCTGGTGGGAACACACTCAGGGCACAGGCTGGGGAAATAAGCACACTCTCCTGAGGAAAGGGCACAGTCTACTGTAGGAACTGTGCTCAAAGAGAGGACTTGGTGGTACCAAATCCCAAAGTACTGAAAACCACAACCTCTTTACCATGGGCCCCTCTTGCCTTCCCATATCCCTGGACATGTTATAGCTCTTGCTTTCCTCCCAGCCACAGGCACCTCCATGAACATGTCACAGAATCACTTGGCTCCATGAAAAGCGCAGGCCTGCCTTCACAGAGCCAGCTCTAGGTCCATCTGTCTTTTCCCCTTCTCCCTCCCTTCCTTTCAGCAGCTGAACAATAGCCTATAGCCTGCATTGTGGTGAAATGGGTGGCATGAACTTACCTTCATCTGAAAGTGAGAAGCGTATGGGGAGTAGTTGAGGTCTCCTGTGTCAAAAGACAAAACCAGGGGAAAGTTAGTGCATTAGCATTACACAGTAGCTTGGAAACACCACATCAAGGGAGACTCAGGGTCTGTGGCTACATGAGCAGCTGCTTTAAGACTGGTTTAACTGTGCAATGTGCAGGCAGGAATGGGCTAAAATTCATAGGTGGAGGCCATTAAATACTTCCTTCTGAAAGCAGGAATGAATGGTATTGCAAATAACAGGACACAAGTGGCCTTGGAGTTTAGACACCTCCTGTTGCCTCACAGCTACTGTCACCACCACCAGCCAAATCCCTCCCACTTGTATGCACAAGACCACCTTCACGGTATTCCCTGGGAGAGCACAGCCTTTCTTGGCTGTTCTTTCACAAAGCTGGGGGTCTGGGTCCAGGTGACGAATGTGATACCAGTAGCAAATCCACAGCCAGAGGAATCACATCTCCTACCCACTGGTTTGGGGAAAGAGTTGATGCATCACTAAGAAACAAAAAAACCCTCCTGATTTTTAACGTGGACTTGCCAGACATAGCAGGGTCATAGAGAAATATATTTCAGCCCTGACATGCAGCAAGTCTCCTACTCAGTCACTCCTCCTACACATCTTTAGCTTTTGCATTGGTCCTCACTCATTTCCCTCATGTCTGGAGATTAATTTTCATATGCATTTCCAAAGTTTCATCAGTCTCAAACTTTTTCCTAGCCTCTAATTTATCTATCATCTTCAAATATTTTCTTATTTCTCCCACCTCTTTTAGGTCATGAGTGGGGGGACAGTGGAGTCATTCCCTTCACCATACCTTGCACAATTTCATCCTGGGTGTAGGCACGGTTGTCCACTCCAGTTGCCTGCTTTATGAACCTGGGTTGGCAAAAGTCATTTTCTGGAGGGTAGTCCTCCAGCTTCAGAGGAGCAGTGAGGAAACAAATTTCGGGGACAATATACATTATCAGGAAAATCCAGCCATTGGACACCAGAGCAATGGCTACAACAGGATCATCCCACATTTCTTTGCCTAAAACCGTGTTGCCTTTTATGAGCATAGTGATCCACACTATCCAAATGGCAATGGAGAACAGGACAGTGACAAAGATGTGCGCCCCGTGCCTCTTCCAGCTTTTATACGACCCACAGAACGTGAACATGGAAACCAAGAAGGTCAGAGCCATCAGGAAGAGCACGTAGATCAGAAGCATGACAAAGTCCTTGTTGGTACTCTCCCGAGCCATACTCAGGAATTCCTCTCTCTGGTTTACTAACATGGTGACTAAGTACTCAATGTTGATCACAACTTGTACCAGGGCAAAGGAAACAATGAAGAGCAGCAGCACCCGCCAGGAGAAGGGCTTTCTTCCTCTCACTAGTTTGTTGAGGTTGCAGGCGTGGGTGAGGAGGCACGAGAAGCAGAGGGCAAAGATGACTCCAAATAGGAAGAAGCGAGTGGGACGAGTCCTGTCATTGAGTTTAATGATGAAGGCAAAAGTGAGACCAAAAACGCCGAGTGTGCCTAAAAGAAAGAAAAAATAGACGGAGATCATGTGCCGCTTGCTGTTGTCTTGGACTTTGCAGATGAGGAAGAAGAGCGAGCAGATGAGGAAAATGGTGATGAGGATGCCTGCTGCAGCCAGCGACTCCAGGACAATCCCCCAGGCCTTCTCTGTGTCACAGAGCAGGTGGTAGTCAGCACCGATGCTGCCGCAGCCTTGGGGAGGTGACGTCGTCATCCTCTCGCCTTCTTGAACAACCTCTCCAAAGCTGTAGAGAAAGAGAAGACACAGGCTGTCAAGTCAACCATCTGGGTACTGTCAACAGTGGGGAAGGAGAGGCAGGACAGACATCCATCCCCACCTCACTGGACAAGGGCACCACAGTGCTAAGGACACGGGGCAATGGGAGCAGAGACACCTCATAGTTTGGCACCGGCTCTCCATCAAGGGCAAGCCAAGCTCCTCAGGAGGAGGTAATTCACCTTGCATATCCTCTGCACTGTGCCTGATGTTGTGCAATGTTTTACGAGTGTGGGGAGCAGGGAGAAGGTGAGGTGCTGCAGCAGGCACTTGCCTGGTGCCCTGCAGTGCAGAGACTGAGCTGCCCTGTCACTTCAGTGATACAAGAGCAGCTGTTAGTCATAACAGCTTACACTGTTCTGACCAGTTCAAACAACATCAGTACTTTGTACCAAGGAGATTCAGAGATGAACAATGCAGCACAGGAAACTTGTTGCTCTCTTTTACGTTGATTTTCCCCTTTTTACATCCTCTGAAGCACTTTTGGCTTTTTTCACTGTTATGAATGAAGGCGGAACTTTAACACCTTTTACCTTGCAGATAACTAACCCAGATGCCTCCAGCACAGCCCTTCTCACTCCAAATTCAACAGCAAATACAGGCCACCAACCAGCAGCCCCGAACTCATATTCCTCCTTCTTCACAGCAGTGTAGCAATAAGGAGTGTCTCAAAGAGCTCAGCCTCCTCCCAGGATACTGCCTTGCACTGACTGGAGGCCTGACATGTCAGAGCCAACGCTGTTCATTGTGTGAGAAGTGACCACCGAGTTACTGCGTGAGGAGTCTGCAAGCCAATGATGTCAAGGTCTCTAACACATTCCTGCTCTCTCATCATAAGGATTTCAGTGCTGTCTGAGCAAGCCTGTCTCCCAGGGGATAAGAGAGCTTAAGTGGGCTATTCAGGCAGCACGGTGGGGGGCCTTTGGCACATCATGGCCCATTATGCAGGCACCCAGAGAGTTTCGACCCCAGGGGCCAGGTACTGATTTCTAAATACCAAATTCCTCAGTTAGGCTTAAGTCTGTAAGATCTATCAGAAGAGGAGTTTAGATGCAATGTCACAATGAAACATGAGCAAACCTGCCCTTAATGGTGACCCACACTGGAAAAACAAGGGCTTTCTAATAGGTAAAGAAAAAATTAACCTTGCAAAATTTAGGCTTCGGTGTTCACTATGCCATTTGCCTTGATTTTCCTGCTCCAGAACAACATACTGAACTTATGAAGTTGGTTCTCAAACCCTTCCAGCAGATTTTAGTGAGTGCAGATTGTGTTTTTACTAAATGGCAGTTGATCTAACCAAGGGATGAACAAAGGGTGAAAACATCACTGACTCACACTCTCAGCCCCATATGCTTCAATGGACCTACTTATAACTGAGTTGGGGAAATATTTTTCCAACTTCTACCCTCACTGTGTAAAAGATGTGCAGCTCTTCAAAAGGCTGGCTACAATAAAATGCAAATTATTCAAATATGCAGGATCTTTGTACTCCCATGGAGAGAATGGAATAAGTGGGTAACACACGAAGGAGTTTCCACAACCAATATACACGAAATTCTGGAGATTAATGATCTCTTGAACAGATAGTTGGATTATCTGGACAATTATGAGTAATAAATAATAAACCTTTCTGAAAATTTAGAGAGAAAATTCTAAAATTTTATCCAGTGACATTTACTGTTGATTAGACTAGCTTATGTGTTCACAGCTCTGGCAGATCCAGACTGATGCTCGCTGTTGAGGCACGTGGAGAGCCCAGAGACCAGCGTGAGTGACCTCATGGCAGCACAGAGCACACCCATAGCTTTGGGTCCTGACTGCAAGCGGTGCTTGCCACAGCCAGCCACCACGGCCAGAGGAACAACTGGGATGGAAATAACCTTCCCGACTTGGAGAACTGGGCCACTTGCAACCATTTTTACTGCATTCATTTTTTTCCCAGGGCAGATGTCCTGTGAGACTGATGAGGCACGAAGAGCATCCACTCTGTCTCCTGGGTGAATGTGGCTCCCCAAAAGCTGAGTCTGCTCATCCAGCACCTACAGCACTGTCCAGGAATTCCAAGGGGCTTTGCAATCTGAGCGAGGGAGCCTGTGCTCTGGTAGCTGATACAGCACACCTCAAATCATAGCTCTCGCTTCAGCGAGGAGTCTTCTCCCTCCACCTCGACCCTCTTTTCCCACTGATATTTGTACATAAAATACACCCATTCACCCCCAAACTTCAAATGGTTTCCCGGGAGCGTCTCCCCAGCTCCAGCTGGCAATCCCATCTTCGACTCAAGGGCAGAAGGCACTCCCAGCTCACTGTGCCATCCTCTGCCCCTGCTCGCCGCCCTCAAACCACGGTCCTGCACGCCATCCCAAGCCAGCCGCAGGAGGCAGGCCCACCCTGGCTCCCGTGAAACATTGCCTCGAATTACCTTTCTGGGTGGCGCCTGCTGAAGGCGGCAGGGAGGCTCCGTCTAGGAGAGGCACTTTTCCAGCGCACCAGGGGCCGGGCGCCTCCGCTGCCGCAAGCCCGGCCGAGCTCCGCGCTCGCCCTCCCTGGGAGCTTTAACAGCTGGAGGGCTGAGGAGGTGGGGCTGAGCACGCCTATTCCAGTTCCACCGCCTCTCCTCTCCTCTCCCACAGGACACGGCTGTGAAAATTGGGCCCCTGTGCCAGGAAATGAAGTAAGGGCTCCTGACGTCAGCGGGGCACTCACCCCTGAGCCGGGGTGGAGATGGAGCCCTGGGCCCGCGCCGAGCGCTGCTCACTCGGGCACCCGATAAGGACAGCCGATAAGCTGCTCCCCTGGCTGACTCCCGGCACCCGAGGGTGGGGACCGCCGCTATGAATAGCCGTGCGTCCCCTCCCTGCTCCCAGCCTTTTGTCTCTTTGCCTGCTTTCTCGCCAGGTAATCTGCTGGCTGAGGAGGCGATGAGGAGGCTGTGGTGTGAGAACCGGCCCGAGGTGGCCAGAGCGAGCCCGGAGCCAGAGATGGTTTTGTTTCCTCGGGGCTCTCGATGGGTGCTGCGTCTGCTCTGCTTGTGCCGCTCTTCCACCCGTGCCAGTGAGAGCCACCTCACTTTCCTGAAAGGGGCGGCTTGCCTTGTGTCTCGCTCAGAGCAGCCTTGCTTTCCGAAGGCTGGCTTCTGCCTGCTCGCGAGCACTGAGTCACTTTGTCCAAATTGCTGGCCCAAACGATTAATTGAGCAAAGACAATGACAAATTCCCCCTTGCTCTACATTTTACGCCTCTGGCCAGACACACCTATCAGCACAACCCCCTCTAAATCCTCGCGTATATCCAGTGTGTTCATGACTTCATTTGTTATTTTAAATATTACTCACTGGGAGTATTTCATTATCCTGATTAGGGAATTAGACATCGAGACCTATCCACATGAAGCGCTCAGTCCCTACACACAACCCCAAACCTAAAAATCCCCCTCACTTCATATGAAGTTTGTGCTTCTTCCCAAAACCAGGGATGGGGGTAGAGCAGCTGCCTATGCCTGTGCTGAGGTCTAAATGCCCACAGGTGTCTCATCTGCTTGTCAGTTTTGTTTGTTTTAGGGCTTCTGGCTTACTTCTGTGTGCTGATCCTTCCTGAATCTCACGTGTGGAGATTGCCACAAAACTCATACAAGGGAGTCCTCTCTTCCATGCCCCACAGAAGTACATGAGGACCTGCAGGGATGAGTGGCTCATCCAGTGAAAGGCAACACTCAGTGCAGTCACTGTGGGGTGGGCCATGCTGAGCCCTAAGACACTTCTTCACGTCCTTCCTACTTTTATTTCAGTGTAAAATCCTGAGGCTTCTTAGGAAAGGACATCCCCTCTCCATGAAACTAATCTAAACTTTAAAGCAGGTTCTGGGCTAATGAAAAATGAGAAGAGAAAATAAGTAGGGGTGGAGAGGAGCTTAGCACCATCTCAGTGGGACCCAACTTGTCTTAGTAAAGCATCCCAAGGAGCTTTCAAAGGTCACTGGTCACTGCATCCTGTCAGAGCACATTATGGACTGCCAGCTACTTCCCTACATTTACACAGACACTCAAAACCTCATGGAATAGACCATGCCAAATTATTTCAGTGAAAAAAAAGAAGAAAAGATGTAACTAACACAGACATTTCTCAGAATGCCTGAGAAATCCATGGGAGTCACTCATCAAACATAACCTGTACTTTCAGAAGGCTAATGGGACTACATTTAAAAACAATCCCAAGTGATTTAGGAGCCTGAGGGCTGCTGACTCACTGTAGTGAGACGTGGTGTCCATGGCTCTCATGCTGTGCCAAGGAAGGTGGAGAGGCACCACTGGTCTACATGTGCAAGTCCAAACCTGGTGATCACACCAGGAGGGTGAGATGGCTGTCACCTCGCTTTAGGGATGGGATGTAACCTGCAGATAAAGGCACCTAAATTTAGATGTCTGATGGTTATTACCTAAATGTGAACTGAGTGTCTCAGCTCCCAAACAGCCATAAGGTCAGAAGGACTGTCCCAGCTGATTGGGTGCAGGTGCCTATTTCTGTGTACACTGAAATGCTCCCAGGTGTGGTTGCCTGGATTGCCTGGGGCCTCATTTTAGTTGCTTGCACACTAGAATAGTGTCATTTGAGATGCCCCAGTGTCTCCTGCTCAACCTCCAATGACCACTGCAGGAGCACATGAATTTCCCATATCTCCTCTCTCAGATCTGACAGTCCTGTGCAGATGTTTTGGATCAAATATTTTCCTGAGATTTGATCCCTGGAATCTCAAATCACCTTTGTAAGAGCAAATGGACTGAGTGCTCCATCTCTGTGGCTATTCCAGAGTTGAGATGCCCAGTTTATATGTAGGTACCTCTTCCACCGTAATGACTTAATTCTGGTACACCGGCATAGATAAATAGTTAATTGGAGGTGCTGTAGCTCTGTTACCTTTACACAGTGAACACTACAGGGATGGCATATGAAGTACAAGAGCAGTGGAAATCAATCCCTCTGGAGCATTAGTTCATGCTAAATAACACAGAAAATCCCAAATGACCCTAGGCAGCAGTGTATGGACAATCCAATTAACTCCTAGGTGTCTACAGAGCAGACTTCTTCATTGGAGGCAGTCATGTGGAGTCACTATAGTTGGTGGAGAGAAAGGGGCACTTCCAGGGCAGTTGCAGTTGATCTGCTTCAAGACAAGCTAAATCTCACCTGAGAAGTACCCATTTCTTTCCAAGAGAGGTGGAGACAAGAGAATGATACAGATCTTTACACTTGAGAGCCGAATTGCATAGCAAATTTCCAAAATTATTTAAACACAAAATGCTGGTAATGTTGGAATTCCTTTAGGTGTGAGGTTGTTCGTGGCAACAATGTTTGCTTTGGCCTTATTGCAGCCCTGGACAAGCAAGCTGGCTGCTGGTAGTAAGAGGGATAGTGACTGGTTAACAAGGAGAGTCAGGGACAGCAGCAGGGTCTGACCCACAACTCCCAGTTCTCAGGCAGCAGGATGAGGGCTGGGCTCTCCCTCTGACTCAGCTCTGCTCCCTGCCCCTTCTTGCTGCTGGCATTGCCTAACTCTGCTCCCTGCTGTGGGGTGGGACTGCTCTGTGGTGCCCAGTGCCCTGGACCAGCCCTTCTCCACTGGCTTCAGTATCACAGCAAATGGCAGAATGCTGCAGCCCCCTCAGCCCAGCCAGGCGTGGGGAAGGAGGCATGTCTGGGATGTGCAGGGACTGAGACAGCATCTTTTATTAAGACAAGTAATAAGGCAAGCAGATGCCCGGGGAGAGATGGTGCATGGCACTCTGGAATGTGTCTAAATAACATGTTTATGTTTGACTGGTGATACTGGCTGCATTGTGAATAGGCTGGTGTCATTCCTTCTGCTTAGCTACCTGTGCACAACAGATAGCTTAATAACATAAGAGCAGCCTTGCTCCCTGAAAAACATCCCCCTGCCAGTACTTATCACAGTCATCCTGAGCTAATATTACAGCAAGCTCCACCCCATCCTGCTCCATCCATTTTCTTCATCTTTAAATCAGTTCAGGTATAAACATTGTGACAGTCTTGGAAAGAGCCTGGCACAGAGATGATGGGTCCTCAGCCAGCCAGTTCAGGGCACCATTGCCTTAGACAGGAGAGAAGACAAGGGAAGGGGTTTCATTTCTGGAAAGGGACATGTGGGATCTTTGCATAATACTGGACTTTCTCCTGGGTGTCCTGTCCTTGAATCCCTCATATTCCGGCTTTGAAAGCATGTATCTAAGGATTACAAAAAACTGTAAGACCCTAAGTGTTGAATAGTTTTCCTTTGGAAATGAAGAGTGTTGGACCAAAAACTAAATATTATCTAAAATAATTGCAGAAGAAACAATTCTGTCATCCTTCAGAGCCTTTACTTGTCTCTGCAGCTATCAGTTCCTCCAAATTGCATGCTGTGCTCCCTGCCACTTTCAGTCTCAGGAAAAATATCAACATTTCTGGTATGTAACAATGCTCTGCTTTCTGTGCTGATTGCTGCCTCCTCTCAAAGAGGTTCCCCTTCTTTAAATGAGCAGGTTTTGGTCAACCCCTTTCTCTTCCTGGCTCCTAAACGCCCTAATTCCTGGTACAGGGCTTTCATTTATTTGGAAAGTCAGAGATTTATTAAAATATCAATTTTAATAAATTAAAAAGACAAGGAGACTTATTAAAGTATTGAAATCAATGTTATTGAGTATATCCTATAAACAGAAACTTTCAAACCTGTGAATTAACTGCTACAGCATTCCTAATTGGTGAGAAGAACTTGCTTATGGAAATGGACTGCCTGGTCCTCCACTAGGAACATGATGCTCTGCAATGCTGCAAACAGGATCACTTCTGCATGCAATCCCAGGTGTGAACAGCCTGGTACCTGGAAACCCAGGGCCAGGGGGTAGCTTCTGGAATACCTGCTGAACCTGTGCTGAATTGATGCCTTGGACTTGCTCCTGTTCCATGGGGACAGGTATCACAGTCTTTCATACTCCACAGATGTAGAGGCTGAAGCAAGAATGGGCAGAAATAAGTGGAGAACCACTGAAACTGTGACTGTGATCACTTTTGCCAGGAAGAGCCTTTTCATACAACAAAACTGGTGCTTTTTAAAGCTGTGAACAAATTTAAAAAAATAGTTAATTTGTCACCTCCTTTAGGACTTTCAACAGTATGCTGATAAACATTTCACTCATGACAACTGAGCCATTCCTGTAGATGTAGTTTCCTGAAGGTTTTCTGTGCTCATCCACTCACCAGTTCAGCAAAGAACGCTCCAGCCCTCCTTTATGACAATAACCTCATCTGCTTTTATGCTGATGCATTTCCAAAGCAGCAAATTGCCCTGATATGTATGACTGGGTATTGTAGATAAACAAACATTTTAGGAAGATAACTCTCAGTAAACAAGGAATCTGAAAACATACCCCTAGAAAGGAAGACAGGACAGGGGAGATGCAGGAGGGCCTGCATTTGCTCACTCCCAGAAAGACTGACTCCGAGACTGGGGTAATGATTTAGGAGA